AATGTAGTTTCATTTGACGTAATTATTCATTACCATTATTATCATTAACATCATCTTCATCATCACCTACATTTTCATCATCTTCATCAGCATTATTGCCATTCACCATCACCATGTATATCATCATGAACAACAACATCAACATCTTCATGATTTATCATCATCATCAACATCATTGTGATCATCGTTATCATCATCACCATTATCTTCCGTTAATCAACCATTGTAACTAATGTACCAACATTTCAACTGTCTAATTATAACGTTTTAGCTTACCTGAACAATTATTATTTAATCCTGTATATAATCTTATAATATCTGCATGATTAAGATATATTCAAGATATGATGTTTATATATACATCTCCACTTCATAATTAAAGAATAATAATCAACGAGCACTCTCATTAAAAAGGCTGCGACACTTTTACCTTTCACACTCTCGGTGTACGCCTCTGTCGTATTAATTGTGAATGACACAATTACAATTTAAGGTGAGAGTAGTAAACTCTAAAAGCTATGCTTAAGAAGACGATTAATATTGAGTTTTTTTAGTCAACCTAAGAGTTCAATGGAACGGATAACAGTATCTGAGCTATTTACTAACGAGGGCGAATAATTTTATGTGTAAATATCTCCACTTTTTAAAAACTCTGCAATTTAAATAACATTTTAATCGTTATTGACAAGTGATAGGCAAGTCCCAGTCATACTTGATATTACAGTTCTTCTTGATAGCCTCAAGATTTGAATTACTAGATTTTTATTCTGGTTTATGAATCAAAAGATCATTAGCATTATGATTAATATGATGCTTGTTGTCATTTATTGCTGTGCTGGACACGTGAATATCAATTACATATTCTGCCCGTTGGCAAAATTTGCATACAGCGGTCAGGTTAAGTTCTTTAATATCTGACTTTTTGTAACTCTTTTTTAAACGTTTTTTTTCCCTTCCTGTGGCAGAATTTGACTATAGCCAGAATATGTAAGCCACAAGTAGGTCACTTCACCAGAGGTCATGTCCCGAAAGTGACTGTGCTAGAGTGGAATTTGGTTTATAGGAATTGAAAGATTATTACAAACCACCCGAAAAAATACTAGGAAAGAAAAAAACATGCGGACTTAAAACTTATCTTCGATCGCCGCTGTAGTAGGCTAATTGCGACACACAGGGACTAGTTTCAGCCCCACTGCGTTGACTACAGAGGTAATATTGATATGCCATCGACATAAGAAAATATTGAAGTGTATAGATAAAGAAAATAAATCAATTGACTGATTCCACTTCAAATTCTCTGGATAACCAAGTTGATGCAAGGCATCAGCCTCTGAATAAGGTGGGATTTTGTAGAATCTTGTAATTACCAGTAAATTTATGTTCATATGAAATCTATCAATTAACACTATGTCTGACACAGATAAAGGTGAACTTAAGTCAGACTCTATTGTTTTCCAATCTCAGCAGATATTCCACCCTCTAAACTGCCGTGAAAACTAGGTTTACGATGATGTTCGACACAAGTTCTTACCCTAAGACCAGTCCTGGTCGTGGGTCTGAAAACTCTGTATTGTTTTTTTTTTCTTCGCTGGAATTAGTTTTAGACAGCAAACTCATACAATTGAGTCACGCAACAACGGCAACAGGGATGACATCTTGCAATTTTTTAGGTCAGGCTGTTCCTGTCTGACTGTTGCAAATCCCAAACTTGTCATGATCCTCTAACAGGTTTTCGTTCACCGTCTGTTCATGCCCCCTTCCTAAAGTTGGTGCGGAAATTCGTTTCTGGTGAGTTGGTCATTGTGACAAGGTGGTGATGATGATGTTTCTGTGAAGTGATGGTTGGAATTCCGTTGAGCCTTGGCGACTTCATGAGGGACATGTAAATAATCAATATTTGGAAACAGTTTCTCAATGTGATTAATTTAGCTTATGAATATCCATTATTTTTTAAAAGTTTATAGTCTATCATAATTATTACTGTTTTGTTTCTTATAATTTTATTATATTGGTGATATAATATTTATAAACTTTACTAAAAAAGAATTACAAGCTACCATTTTTATCATATTTGATCATTATTTTTAGCATCATTTATATTTTATAATTTGTTGGTAATTAAGTTAATAATGACCATTGTCATCATCTGCTTTTTCCTTTCTATTTTATTATATTTGTAAGACTGTCCCTTATTTTCATTTATACTGTAAAGTATAATGGCATTAATGTATTGATTTAAGATTGAGGTAAAAATCTTAAAATCATTAAAAAATTCAAGTAAAACATTAAATTGCCCAATAAAAGGATCAAATAAATTATCAAATTTTAATGGGACCTCACCGTTCAAAGACATTTAGTTTTTGCAGATTTTTTATTTAAAATTTTTTATGGTAAATTGGAGCCAATTGAAGGGTCGACTATGCTGGGAAAAAAATTAAATGTTTGTGCATCTGTATTAGTGAGAATTTTTTTTTTTTTTTTTTTTTCAGTTAATAGTTATTATTCTTCAATTTTCCCTCAAGGAACTAATTGATAATATTCAATTTTTTGTATGAAAGTAAAATTAAACAGTATATTAAAATGAGTTAATCACTTTTAATGATTTTATTATAGTCAATGGGTTGTTTGCATAACATAAAAAAGGTATTGAATCTTACTGCTTGGCTGGTATTAGTATTTGCGAAGAAATTTTTTATCACTCCTTCAGAAATATGACAAATTATTTACTAAATATACTGTTAACATGAATTGTTGTATACGGTATTTGTCTCATGAAAAAAGGCCTGAAACCTCGCATCTTCATAATCGTTAAATGATACAGTAGACGATCTTAGATAAATGACTAGTGACGGATCTTACATGCACCGTCCATCATAGCTCGGCGTTCAAGTATAATATGCAAATAAAAAATACCCGAGTAAGTTTGGTTTGGTACAATGTTATGCTCTAGTTATTCCGATGTTTGTATATATGCAAAATATGATTAAGACATTTGGCTTAATTATCTGGTAATATGCAGTATTGAAATTGAACAAAAAAAAAAATATTGTACCTATTTGAATTCCCCCATTAGGAAAATTTGATGTTTCCTTTGTTTATGCCGAATTTTTTGCAAATTACATTTAGGAGCAAATTGTGATTTATACCTCTGTATTAATCTTACCATTGAACATGGCTTGCTAGAGGCACGCTGTCTGATTGATATGCCCTGCGAGTGCAATTCATATTACTATTAATGCTCCCGCTCTGGGCTAGTTAAATCTCAGTCTTATAGCGTCATTCACCGCGCTTTTTTGCCCAGAATGCATCCATCTCTTCTCGTTCACGCGAATCCGTCTGGTTGACACTATGACGGATAAAATCGGATGATAAATAGACGAAAGACGTGTATGATCTGCGTAGAATTACTCAGCTTGAGTGATGAGCGGGGTATGCTTGTGAAGAGCATAATATCGACAGACTATTTGTACTCTTTGCATTTTGCATAACTGCTTAGATGTGAAGCTCCTGTTTGGAATTTTGATCGAGCCAAATGACGATTTGTTATGGCGTAATAACCTGAAACCATACTTAAACAGCAATTTCAAATTCATAACTTCACAACAGATTGTAAAAGAAAAATAATTTGGAATGGGAGTATTTAGAATTGATTTCTTCCCTTTTACTTGGATTTGGATACAGATCCATTCTATTAGTAAAATTGTATACTTTGTAAATCAAACAATTTTTAAACATAAAAAATATTAAACATTAAAACACCACAACAGATTTTTATTTGTAACTATTTCAGTTAAAAACCTTTCCGCCATTGTTTTTAGGATTATTACATTTGAATTTTGTCCTGACTGTTAAGTTCACAAAGTATGTTTGTCTGTGTAAAGTGCTAAACTTTCATTATAAAATACTATGACCTGATATTTGACTTGTCAAGAGACATAAATAATTCATGTGGTTATTTTATAATTATAAACAAAGTGCGGGTCAATCAGTTAAAGGTTTCTGTTTGTTCCACATCTCATTGTTCTTAATCTTTTATTAGCTGTAAACTATACATCCAAAATGTATTGTCTTTTTTCAGATTCTTTCGTTTATAAGTGTGGACCTAGTGATAAGAACAAATTCCAAATTATAATTTTATTTTCTTGTCTCTAAACCTAACTAACAGCGTAAAAAAAATGGCCAACATGTTTAAACATGATTCATTGTTGATATTTTAATATTTTTTGGTTTGTTCAGAGAATACCTTTTCATACCAATCAATCAATCGTGCTATTTAAATTATTTTTCTTTCACCTGAAATATCAATAGTGAACAACAAATTAAATCAATCAATTCGTGCAACAGATCTCATCATCTAAGGGAAAGTCCCTTTAACAGTAGATCCTAAATTCATTATTGTACATGTAAGGCTTTGTATGTATTTCATTGCTTTCAGTCTGGTCTGATCCAAAGGATCTGTATTCATTGGTTAACTTTTGACCTCTCTTATATAATACTCCATGCCCAGTTGATTTTCATTCATTCGTAGCTCATGCAGCTATTTCTAGTTGATATCAATGAAGCGAAATTAGGAAGGTGACATTTGTTATCACTATGATAATGTTGAAGAGAGACAGTGATAATAGTGAAGCTTGATTATAATGAATTATTATTAAAAGTAAAAATGCTAATGATGATAATGATTTTGAGAATAACATTGATGTTGAGAAATAATTGGGATGAGGATGCTAATGATGAGAAGGAGGATGAAGATTGATAATGATGATGATGATGATAATGACGATGATGTGGATTAAACTTATGATGATGAAAATAATGAATAAGATCATTATTATGGATACAACGAGGGATGTAGCATTAACGACACATACAGCAATTACAGTGACGACAGCGACCATGACAACAATGACGAGGATAAAGATTATAGCAAAAGGATATGATTATGATGATAATGTTTATGATGGTGAGGATTGTTTAATAAACACCTTGAGGAATTATGCCTTTTCATAAAATTTAATCTGCTTTTTTTTTTCAGGCATGGATGGTAGGCAGATGTGGGGGTCGGTAATTGGTGAAACCTTGGCTATGTATATCAAGAGGATAGTAACTTTTTGCAAGCAGGTACCAGGTAAGTTTATGTCAGGTAAACTGTTAAAAATGTTTCTAAAAACAAAAGAAAGACATCACTGCACCTGATGATTGATGATAACAATGACGATGATTATGATGATTAGTAAGGTGGTGATGAGAACTTCTGCCATACAGCCGTAATCCTCTGCAATAGCAAAGAATCGACGATATAACATGTCATAAAAAATGTCGGGTTCTATAGTTGGAAAATGTTGAAGAAGCATTTGAGTAGCATTAACAGGATTGTAAACGTCAGATGTCAGAGGATACCTCCTCTGTTGTTAGGGGTCGTCCAGGGTTGTTGTATGCTATGTGAGAGTTGATAATGAAGCGTGCAAGACGGCAAGTGGTCATGTTTCAGATACTGGGGCTTTTATATGGAGGCTGTCATACTGTACATATATTTTTGGCTGTGTTTATATGCTCTCTATGCATTAATAAGCTAATGTTTTCTATTCATCTAGTTTTATGATTAGATTATAGTCATAATACAATAAATTAAATATCACACTAATGAGTATAATGTAAATTAATTTATTAATTTATTAATCCTCAGTTAAATATTGAAAATATAATTATGAATAAGTTATAAATTTAACATTTAATATTATATTAGTATAATAAAACAAATTAAATTAAACATATTATAAGATAATAATTATTTAAAACTTACTATATTATATGCAACATTGTATGCAGCATTTAACATATAATTTATGATGTTAGAAAAACATATAAGAAATTAGTAAATTAAAAATATTTACAAAAAAGTGCTGAATTTAATTAATGCTCTAATTTTTTCTCAGTATACTCTAGTACCTCAGATATGAAGTGTTAAGCATTTGGTATCTAAGTTTACCACCAGAAAACTACTCATTTTCATATGGTATTTTTTTTGAAAAATGAAAAGAGTCAAAGTTTGAATTTAACCATTGTAATTTAATGTTAATGATGAATTATCTACATTCTAATAACAAGAATTACTAATTAAATTATCAAGCTCTCATTAAAATACATTTGCCAATTAGCCCAAAAAATGATTAGGAAAATTTGACATACGTCATAAAAGGGTCAATGTAATACCCATTCCTAAAGGAACAGTTTTGCCCATTAAGCAGCCTATTCATTGGCATTCAGACTGTAATTACCGTAAGCCAAATGTGGGTAGCATTAGCCGAGAAGTGAGAGGTTATTCATTGGTGTAATCACTCCCATGTGATCTGGTGCCATTTAATACCCTACTGGGGTAACAACGAAAAATGGATACGAACATTGTGGAGCACATTTAGCGAATACTTGATGATAATTGTGTCACCAAATGGCTTGCCATTAACCTACATAATGTCACTAAAAACGGTGAAACTTCACATCCATCCATATACACACATACAGTAGCGGCTTGTTTATGATACGTGAAAGGCGTTTTAGGCTACATGAATATAATACTGATAATCCGATAGCTAGGCTTTAATATATAAAAGGTATTCAAAGTTAGTAAATTGCACAAGATTTAAAGGATATATTCTTGAAAATTGTCTTAACATTTTTCTTTTGTTTGTTTTTTTTTTTATTCATGAGATTGATGTTTAGAAAGAAGTTGAATTATATATTTGTTGAAATTTTTCAAGGTGATTGTAGTTATGTACTTTATTGTTCAAGATTAATTTTTTTTTTATTTGTCAATATCTTAATAATAATAATAATAATCTGTTGAGAATCTGTCTTGTTGTTTATTTACTTATTTTGTTTTGCTATTTTCCTTATTACATGATATTATTTAGATCATAATCAGTCATCAAAATACATTTTGTATGATCATAAAATTTATTATCAATTACTACTATATAAAAATGATAACTTTAAATCACCAATATTTAACTTAATTGCAACACAATACAACAAACCAAAGAGACAACAAAAAAATTAAAAATTTTACAAAAATGATAAAATAATGTCAATTTTCCCCTTGTTTAGTCCTATTCTCATCTGAGATATTTTTCAATCTATTTTAAAAATTCATCTCATAATGAATGTGTTTTACTTTTAACTGGTCATAACAAACAGTAAAGCTATATTTGTAAATAGTTTTTTTTTATTAATCGTTTTATTTGTGGCATAGATTTTGGAGCTAAAGATCAGAATATAAGCATTCTCTCCTTTACCTTTTTGAATATATTTTCCAACATTAAAAAGTAATAACCAACGATACACACCTACAGGCCAATTTATCATCATTTTTGTTCTTTTGGCTTACCTTACACAGAGCAGAATGTGCATTTATATATTTTAAGTGCATACACATTTATGAAATAATTTTGCCTGCTCTTAAAAGGAATTTTAAAAGTGAGATTTGAGATGAATTGAAGCGGTCTCTGTAAAAACCATCTTTGCTCACTGGAGGCTATTCTAACGTAGAGGATGCCTTTACCGTAAGCTCGCTAACATGCAACATGTCGTATTTCATTATGAGTCGGCTATTAAAGCCTCATTTGGCGCTGATTGTGTTGGGGAGTGAGGATGTGTTTCGGGTCTGTTTGTGGTTTAGTCACAATCCTCAGAGAGCCTAGCCGAAAAGGGGTTTCCATGTGTATTTGACATCTTAACACATCTGCTCCACTCTGTGTGATTTTTAACAGCTTTGTAGGAAACTTGTTATCTGTATAACATGGGTTAGGAACAGAGGTTTTTTTTTTTAAGTGCAATTGTTCTTTAGTCCTACTGTGAACATTTCTTTGCATGTTTATCCTTGGTACAGTTATTTTGTTTATTGTAGCAATTACTTTGTATAGGAAAACAATAGATAATACATATCTATTCTTCATTACCAATACCTATTCATCCATCAGTTTATCCATCCTCATTCATTGATTCATCCATCTGTCAATTCATCCTTCCATATATCCATCCATCCACCCACCCACCCATCCATCCATCCATTCTTTCTGTCAATCATCCATTTATCTATTCATCCTTCTTTTAATCATTCATTCATTCCACTCATCCATCCATCCATCTATCCATCAATCCATTCCTCTTCAATTATTTCATTTATTCATTTATTCACTCATTCATTCATTAATTAGGATAGGATAGATAGGATAGAGTATTTGTGGTGTGAATTATACCAATGATAACTCACTAAGTCGGAAGACTTGCTTCCAGTGGGATCCATCCATCCATTCTCATTCATCCATCTATCCATCCATCTATCCTGTTTGGTATGAAAAAATAAAAACGATTGATCCCAAAACCTACACACAACATGCTAGTACTTTACCAACTGAGCTTGAGCTCATTCAGTATACGCCCTCATATTTTTTTGAAAATGTAACCGAAATTTAGAAGTAGTTACCATACTGTAATTCTATTTATAGTTATATCTGTGTAGGAACATTTGATTTAAAGATTCATTAAGATTCATACGTTCATTGACCGTCTCCTGGGATATTTCACGACTGTTATTACGTGATTTCTTCAAATGTACCCATAGTTATAAAATATGGCATTGATTGCTGCTATCAATACCAATGAGAGTATCGATGCAATTTTAATTATCACCAAATTGATGTTATAAATTATTATTTCAAATTTTGTCTTGCAATAAATTTAATCTGACATCAATACGTTTTACCCATATATATAATTTTTTTTTCAGACAACACAAAGTTGGTTTGTTTTTGTTTTTTCTGGTTCATGAATTAATGTATGGGACTAAATGTGTATATATTTTTTTTTAATATTGGGCTTTTAAACAATTTTAAATCTCCATGTGATCTCAGAGTTTCTGAACCAAGTTAATTAGATAAAAGTAAATTTTATTTAACATTCATTTAATTGTTTTTTCGTTTTTTATTCAGGATTTTCCTCATTGGAACAACAAGATCAAATGGTACTTGTAAAAGCTGGTTTCTTTGAAATCCTAACCGTTCAGGACTGCATCGAACTCGTCCTTTACAACAAGTTCATTCTGAACAACAACGTGCGAGTATCACGTCTCAATATGCTTAAATTCATGCCTAACGAGTTGGTAGACGCTGTGTACGATTTTGCAAGACGTCTCCACAGGTTAAAATTACAGCAGTCCGAAGTAGCGTTACTGTCAGCAGTTGTATTGTACGCAGATGGTAAGGCTCTTTTTGTCAAATTGAAAATAAAAAATGTAACATAGTGTTTCTGGGAAATTCTAGGTCGGGTGGAGGGTGGGGGGAGGGAACTCTGAAAAAGCAAATTATAATACTGTATTGAATTGCTCATCCAAAAGAATCAAATAAGTTAGCATTTCTTTCTGTGACCTAAGCAGCTTTGGTTCAACTTAAAAATCATGACTTACCAAATTAATTGGTAAAAAGAACCAGCTAATATTTCAGCTTGTGTATAAAGTTCCAACCATGGTACTATTAACAAAAAAAAAAAGTTATCTTGGGGCAAAACTTTTAAGTGGATATTATATCACTGTTGTACCAAAGGCTAATAATTGCAACCAACAATTTCAATTTATACCATTAGATTCTTCAAAGAGATCACTTAAGGTTAAGTAAGCACATTTTTTTACAGAAATTCAAAATTCCTCTAACATTTTTTGTATGTATTTAGTTTTTTTTTATTAGATGGATAAGTAATTCATTATTTTGGAGGAATGCTTCAACATAGTAACTGGAGATGGAATTAAACAGTTAGCCATTTATTAAATCTAGATATTTTTACAACTCCCTGCTGCATACTTTTTTTACATAAGTTCAATTTATATATTTAAAATAGTTTTAATACTTTCCTTATAAAGTACTATTTATGTGATATATAGCAAATTATTTATATTTCAAACTATCGTTGATTGTTTTGTTAGTTTAACTGAACACTGTTTCTCCAATTCATTTGTTGTTTGGGTAAAAAAAAAAAAAAAAAATGAAAACAGATTATAATCTTGAGGTAATAAGATTAGAATTGTCTTTTTTAATCTTCATCTTCTTGTAAAAGAAAGTCTCTTAAAACTCAACATCCCTGGTAATATGTGTGAAAAGAATTCATTCGGATATTAAAACAAACATAAGTATGTGATTTAGAGAAAATAAGATAGTGTTAATCAAATCTGCAAATCTGCCACGGCTGTAAACTTTCAGGGAGATGTTTTAGAATATCTGATTGTTCTCTTAATCATCTCTACAGTACTTAAGTGCTTTATTAATCATTGTAATTCTTCGTCTGTAACAGCTGAAATCCAGTCGTGTACGTAAGCAAGGCAAATTCGAAAGAATTATAGAATTGTAGGCTTTGTCTATCTGAGGATAATTGGGATCCTTAGAAACGGTCAGCTGAACACGATCTACTTCATAAGAAAATCAATCCAAAAAAGTTTTGGCCTGTTTGCTTTGGTTATTTAATTAATAAAACTTTTTTACACTTTTTTAGTAATAATGATATTCAAATTTTTGGCATTATTTTCATTTTTATCTGTCTGTAATTGATTCAAAACTTGAAAAATGTCATTGAAGATTAGATACATTAAAATATTATTCAATAAAAATTTAATACTGCAAAACAATATTTTTAAAACATAATCAAAATTTGTAATATATTGTTGAATAAAAAGATATGTATAAAACAATTTACCGGTATGTGTTTTTAATACATTTATAAATTTGTATATTTTTCAGATCGAGAAAGTCTACAAAACCGAGATCTGATCTGCACTTTACAGGCTAAAATTCTTGGCGCACTCAAGGTTGAAACACAAAGAAATCATCGCGACGACCCACATATCTTTGCTAAGATTCTTCTACGTTTGCCCGAACTTCGAACTCTTGATAATCTTCATACTCAGTTTATCATGAAGCTCAAAGTAGGTGTACCATCTTTCCCAATGCCTGAGCTCTATATGGAAGTATATGACTTTGGAAATTCTAAAGGAGGATGCGACGCAAAGAAAGAGGAAGATTCGAAGAAAAGCAACTCGGCATCTGTGCATGTCACGTCGAGTAACTACTCAAAGGGAACAAACGGTTTCACCGGACACCACCCAATTAACGGCCGTGGTCATGACAGTTCAAACGAAAGCCCGTGCGCAGTGAAGGTTGAACAGCCAATTGGCCCGAGCAAGTTTGACTTACCATTTCCAATACAGTTCGGTAATGACATGGAGGTATATAAACATTACCTTGGCCAATTTACGCCCAATGCTGGGTACCCTCAGTAAAAATAGGACTGGGAATTAACCTCTTGTAGTATTATCCACCCTGATTCATGGTGCGGTGTCCATGTCATGGGCATGTTTGCATATGGCCATGTGTGATTGGTTTCATTGCTCATTGATATGGAACCTAGACACTGTGTACGGTATTCATCTGATTGGCCAGAAAAAAAAAAACATAGAGGGAGCTCTTTCTGCTTTGACGTTCCTTTCAAAAGAGTTGATAAAGGAAGTGTAAATGAATGTTGTTGAAAACAAAAAGTAACTTGTCGTAATGCGGTGTGGTCTCAATCATGTTTTTGATGTAAATTCAGCAAGTGGTTGTAGATATTGGGTCAAAGACCAATGTAACATGTTTTGTGGAAACTTTACAAGGGATAGAGACACGCCAGAAAAAAATACACCAAAATCAAGTAGTATCGCACTGTTTCAGTGATGGCTGATGCTAAAACATATGTTTCTCTCCAAACAATAATGTGTTCATTTTTAATCCAAGTCATCCTGGTAGTCGGGCACTTGTACTTTTGTTGCGCGGCCACATCAAGGAATGTATCATCAATGCACAGATAAATCATTGTGATAAGCCAGCAGCTGTCGACATATGAATATTTCAGCTATACATGTGTTACACATCGAGAAATTTGTGACCAGGTACAGACTGTGTGCGGGAAGAACACTGAAAAATTTAATTAACATTGGACCTCAGTGTTTTCACGCCTCACATATTTGGGTGTCTTCAATGAACCAAGCATAGGCTTTCTTGTATTATTAATGATTTTGTATCTGAATACTCGAAGCATGTTTTTTCTTTACTGGATTAAACATTGCTGAAAAGTGTGAAGTTCCACAAGATCATACACGGTTATTTCAAGCTGTTCTGTTAATAAGGCATATAAGAAAAAGCGTGAATTTGATGAGAAGAAAGGGGAAAATCCCCAAAGTACTAAATATATTCATTTAAACAAAAGTTACTATTTGGGATTGAGCAGTAAATATAGACTACTGACCAAATTCTGACTGTAGAGGGCGCTCCTCAGCTTATTTTTATCTTGGCTGGCTATAAAGCAATTTATTTATAGTAAAATCTGAATCATGAATTGTTTGCCATTGATGAACATTTTGACATATAAGTAGATGAAACTATTCTTTCCTTTTCATTTTTTTAAATATTCACAATTTGTTGGAAATAGTTTTTTGAGATAATAATCTATAAACATATTTTGGTAACTTATAATGCATGTGTATTACGCACATTGTGTAATATTATGAGGAGTTAGATACCTCCATGGTTACACATGTTCAGTTGAGAAGACTGTCCTGCACATGTGTTTCAGGTATTCAGCAGTTAAAACTCATTTGCTTTGAGTGCCAGTTGAGTAAATGATTATTGTATTGGGAGCACTATTTTTCTTGTTAATGGATCTATGTCCAGCATAATCAATTTGGTAACAGTTGGTTTCCGATGATAAACAGACATGTTAATTTTCTTTTCATTGGTTTACCTCAGAGGTAGACCACTTAGAAATTCTGTGAAGGATAAACACAGAAGCCAATGAGAAAATGGGTGGTCTTTCAGAATTTTGTTTGAGGGATTTACAGAAAGAAGGTAAAGCCCTACAAACGTGTGTTGGTCTTACAGTTGACAAATTTACCTTACATATGTGGGCGTATCATAAGGGGCATGTTTTGCCTTATGAGTTTGTTTTACACAGGCTTGGCTTATGGAATTAAACATGTCTATTATAGGTTGGGTCTTACCAAGGTAGTCAGAGTGTAATTAAATAAGATGTTAGATCCCTGTATAGTGGTCTGCCTGTTATTGTAAATGTCTGTGTGTTGTATGAAAATCATGTTAATATTTTTTTTTTTAATTTTCTGAGCTTCAATTCACTGTGTAACAAGCAGATAATACAAGGCAACACTCCTTCCCCACTGAAATTAATTTGTATCATTTACAAATCGAACATTGGATTGTACACTACGTTTATTTGAAATATTTTTTATTGTATTTTTCTATGGAATGTGTATTTATAATGTTTGTGAAATGATTCTCTAGGGTCAATCATGCATTCTGAAGATATAATGGGCCAACAAAAAATTTGTTCCTAGGGTATGATAGACAGTGCATACAACATATTTGCCATCACCAGCTGTTTAATTCAATCATCGTAATTGGTCTGAATTCCCAATATTGTGTTCCCTTCATTGTTGATGTTGGATCTTGTGCCTTTTTTACACCAAACTTTCGGAGTTGTTGTCAATTCAAATTTGAATTTGGTCAGAATCTAATTGATAAAGACTGCCTGTTATGAATCATTTTTCGACATGAGTTTGGTCGTATTTCTTGTGTCTCAGTTCTGTCTGTTTGTTACACAGTCATTTTGAAATAAAAATGAACCAGTAAAGACTGAAATATTGGTATATTTTGCCAAATTTGTACAATGTAGGTTTGTCTAAATTTTAGGGTAACTTCTGTTTAATAACGTATATTCTAAATACGTTAAAAGAATAATTAATATGTGATTATGTTGTGGTAAATAAATACTTACCTGGTGTTTATATAAATGACAATTTATAAAGCTGCTTCATTTAACTAACTCTACATTAATTAAATGGTGTATTTGAAGTGATATAGTAAATTTATGTTTATTTTTTTCCCCTAATAATCCCTTCGTTTTTATTGATTTACAAATGATCACAAATATTTGTTACCGTACTTTATATTTTTTATAGTAAGGAAATTTTACAGTGAGCATTGTAAGATAAAATTGTGATTCTGGTGCCTTTTTTCCCTTCTTGTTTCCAAAGATTTTTGTTTTTCTCCTTGTTCGTTAATTATTTATCATACCAGTTTTCATTCCTTCAATCGTTGCAGCTGTAATCATGTTGAATAAAAATGTCTGTGCTTGGAAACTATGTCGGGATATGTTATAATAATAGTGATTGGGCGTTCTTTAGCAGACATTTTTGTGAGCATATTATTACTGCTTCTTGTACTGTATTCTGCAATCAGGAGAGATATTAAAACGTAGTAATATAGACAACTTTAATTCATTTCGCACACTATTTTGTAATAGATTGTCTGTGGGTGTACCAAATGATGGTACGTTAATTTGGATTGTTCTGCTATCTATACCTTTTTTCAGTGTTGATTCGTTTATAGACATATATTACATCAAGAAATGTAAAGTATAAATTCAATATATATGAAATTTCTCTTTATAGCATTAAAATTTAGAATGAATATTGCATTTAGAATTTTTCCTTATAAACAATTGTGAACAGGCAACTCTATAACTATGTTCATGTGTTTCATTGCCCTTACATTATTGATGAATATTCTGTGTTGATTTTAACTGGTGTTAGGCAAACAAACTTCCATTTAGGCAAACTCAAACTAAAGTTTAAGGAAATTCACAACCCAAGTTTAGGCACACTCAAACAGAGTTTAGACAAACTAACATTTTCGTTTAAGCAACTCAAAGTCAAGTTTTTTGGAATATTCAATCTCTATTTTTGTAGCAATCTAAAACTGAAATGTAGCGTTTTGGCAAATCAAGTTCAGACTCATACCCAGCAAAGTTAAACTAAAGTTTTCGCAAACTAAACTTTAAGATTTGGGAAAGTAAACCTCAAGTTTAGGCAAACTCAAACTGAATTTTAGTTAAACTCAAGTTTATATAGTTTGAACTATTTGTTTGGGCAAACCAGTCTCGGATTTAGGCAAACTTGGGAATTATTTGCAAAAAAATTTTTGTCCCTTTTTATTTAGATGGTAAAAATTAGATTTTAGACTACAACTACCCACAATCTTTCATTACAAAGAGTATACAGATTATCAATGCCTTTGGGTTACTTATCAAGCATCATCAATATCATCATTGTCACCGTCATCATCATTTCATCAACACATTATCATAATCATCATTGTCATCATAATCATCAGCGCCATCATCATCTTTATTATAATTGAATGGTTATGGAATTGTATAGCATTAAACTTTGAAAAAAATTATAAAAAATAAACTGTATTGCACAAATGCGGAGGATTCGGACAACGTCTCATTGTTCATCTGTAATTTGCGATTACCGTACTAACAAGTCAGTGGTTAGATAGCACATAGAGACAAATTATTATATTTACGATGTGCACAATCATTATCTCATTATCCCCATCTTTATCCTTTTCTTTCTGAGCACAAATATTCATTCCCAAGTTCTATAATCAATATATTATTTTAGTTGTAGTCGCAATAAAATATTGTTTTTGTGCTGAAAATGCTAAATCAAAAAATGTATACAGTATTTAGATATAGCATTGTGTGTGTGGTTCTTTAAAAGGTACCATACATACATTGTGATTGCACATTACTGTTTAAAAAAAAAGAGTTGTCTATTTCTGGACATTCATTAAAGATAAAAAATTAAATTTAAATTGTTTTTTTATTTATTCATGTATGGAACTGAAATAAAAATTGATGTATAACTGTTGTGTATTTTATATCTCGTAGAAGATAATTGCTACTAATAAGACAACCATATGCATCCAATGTAAAGAGATTTCTATTCAGTTGTGTTAATACCTGTACACCCATCACTCTATTTGATGTTTAAATCTGCCGCACACGATTGGAATCAGCTCACTGTGTCGAACCAGGTACATTGGGTCTTTAAATTTACAATTTGAAGCCCTAAAAGAAATTGAAGCTACCTAACTACTATTGCAAATCAGCAAGCTGAGCTGAATCCACTGTTGTGCTGCCCGTCTTTAAGTACAGTAACTGATCGTAATGACAAATAATCTATCAGTTATTGTTATGTATATGTTTAACATTTATATTTATGTTATTAATATTTCTTTTATTGTTATTGCAAATATTATGAGATATTGGTGACGGTTTAGCCTTCCAGATGCTATAAGTGTATTATTTATGTAAATTATTGTGTTCTGGCAAATTTAGTGAATTAATTCTAAAACATATCTTTTATACATGCAAGGACTGTTGCATGGAGGCAGTTTGCAAAGGTTATTGTATGGCTGTAGAGACTATTGTAAGCTTTACCCCCATCGATTATGTAATTACGCATAGAGCTTTTTAAATGCATTCTGGGAGCTAAACAAAAGTTGTTATATCTATAGTAAGAGGTAGTAGCATTGAACGAAGAAGAAAAAAAAACGTATCAAACTATTTGATGATTTTAAATGTAGTGAAAATCAATGTTAATTGTTAAGATTCTTACTGTTACTGTGTTCAACACTAGTCTGTATTATATTGTGCGAGTGTAAGCGTGTGCGGGTGCGTGCGAGTTTGCGTGTGCGTGTTTGCTGCACACATGTTTTAACTTACTGCTAAAAGATAATACCTTGACCTCAAAAAGTCCATAATTATTTGAACGTTAATTAATACAATCAATTAAGCTAATTGTGACTATGATTAAAAGGTGAAGTGCCCTTGGGTGGGATAGCACCATGTGACCAAGGTTAACGTGTCATTGATGTGCGATGATTTGCGTGTTAATGTAGAATGTAGACATCAGGGCATAAGTTTAAATTGGTGTAAAAAGTTCAAGATGCCCCTGTTATTTGACCACATAAGGAGATAGGTGGAGTTGCTCATAAGCGTCAACCACAACCGAAATATCATGTAAACTATGGTTTTTCTCCTTGTGGTAAAATCCTGGACGTTGTGAGGGTTTAATCCTTTGACCTACTTGTACGATTAATATGGAAAATATATTGAAACGTCAGTCAAGTCTTCGTAGTTACATTTGCTTTTTTATCTGATTCCGTTTCGTCAGACAATAATTACACAATATAAAACATGATACCTATCAAGAGGTATAAATATATTATATTTGAAGATACTTGAACAATGTACATTTGTTTGCTCTTTCAGAGAAACAATAATCAAACAAACATCAAACAAGTTAGTAATCAGACAATACAAAACATGAAACATAATACTAAGCAAGAGGTAAAATCAACAAAAAAAAACCTCAAAAAAATAAATATATTATATTTAAAGATACTTAAACGACTTGCAGTTAGCTTGCTGATTCTGAGAAACAACAAAGTAAACAAAAGAAGTCGGACATCAAATGCATAGTCTTTCAAGAACTGCATGGATGAGTGAACTGCATGGATGAGTGATTTTGCTGGAGTAGGTGGATGTAAAGTTAAGTGGCAGCTGTAAATGCTGTCGGAACGGTGTTTAAAGAAAGGATGATGATGATAAGGAGAGGCAGCGGGCGGGGTGGGGGTGAAGCCAGAGGGTAGGGTGATGGTGATGATTATGATGATGATGATTATGATGAATAGTGAAAGGTATGGTTGTCATCTATGTTTTGCAAATTAAAAGAACATAACTGGAACTATTCCTGACAGCCTGAGGAGTTTCTTTGATGATAAATAAACAATAACAGCACATTTTAATCTCTGATTTTTAATATAAATTTTAACTATGGTGTAAATATTTTTCATATTTTATATTGAATTGTATATTATGTCAAGTTGTGTTATGTGTAGATGTTATGTTTTGAAATAAGCACTACTCACTTATCTATTCTGAAAATGTCGGGCCACCCCCGCCCCCCTCCCCCTTTGAAAAATTCTGGATTGCCCCTGTGTTGAGCCCATGCTTTCCTCTTGGACCTTTATATAATATAAAATTTGTAATAAATATATAAAAATAAATAAACTTGCTTCATATTATCAGGTCTCATCCATGTGACTTAATTGGCTTCCTGTCACCTTTTTATTTATATTTGCAATTCATAATTGATCTACAGTATATGAGGGTTCCATGATAGACCTGATATCTAATGCAGTATTTTCATTATACAATACTATTTTTTAACAATGATATTGTTACAATATTATATCGGAGAATTTCACTCCCTAAGCCTCCCTCATTGTATAATATGAACATTTTCTTTTAAGTGAATTCACTCCTCCCTGGTTAAATCTAGTAGAAGAAGGCTAAGAAATACCAACATTTCATTCACTTTTAGTTCATATTCACAAGTTTGGCAACTACTAGCGCCACTAGCTGACTGGAATTCACCGTCCATGCTCCGTGCATGGCCGGTAAGATCGTAAGATAGGTTGCCAGTTACAGCCCCTGCTTCCACTCTTCATAGTCTGTTGGGTGATTATTTTTTTGTGGGACCAGATGTAAAATAAATGTTTTTAAACAAAAACCTCTGAAACGGAGAGATTTTGTTGGTGAATATAAATTGAATTTACTTTTTTTTGGATAAATAATATAGATTTAACAATTAAGTAATTTGACGGATGATAATTAATAATGCTATATAGTTTTTTAATATGTAGATTTTGTTGGTGAATATAAATTGAATTTACTTTTTTTTTGGATAAATAATATAGATTTAACAATTAAGTAATTTGACGGATGATAATTAATAATGCTATATAGTTTTTTAATATGTATATAAATCAGTAATGTAAATAATAATAAAGAATGAAATTTCTTGTAGAAATTATTTCTGACATTTTGTGATAATATAATGGTACTTTTAAATAGGCCACGTGCTACATCCCTAAATATAACATAGGCCTATATTTATTAGATTATATAAATAACCCTGACTGGTGACATTTAATTTAAGTTGATATTATTGTAGTGACAAAAGCCTAGGTAAGGTCAGTTTTTGAGGAAATGTAATTATTTGAAAACAAATTGCTTCTTCAATTCTTCATCATCTTTGCTACAACCACTTTGCTTGCTTCTCCAACCACAACCATTAAAAAAAAAGCAGTTTATAAGATAATAGTTCAATTTTAGTTGATCATTGCTAATTTATTAATCTTTTTTAAATGTTTATTTTGTATTGGATAATTTCTTATTCGTAGATTTTTGCTGGGTGCATATAATCTGTTTGCCTGGCTTAACTGAACAGCTGGAGGGGTTGGCGTAAGTAGGCCCATTGTAATGAACTTGATGGCTTTCTTGTGAGGATGTAGGGACACATATCCTGTGACCCACTAACCTACATTATGCTTGTCAATACATTTAATGTTTATGCAAATTATATTGTTATACTAGGTTCTTTCGTACGGTTATAAATATACCATCTAATTCAGTTGCTAGATGTCACCTGATGATACTGAGATATGTCAGAGTGGTTAAATGCTACTTACTTCACATCCATTGAAAACAAAATTGTGAATAATATGCTGCGTTGCAAATTGAGGAGCATTATCTTCATACCGTGTAAACTTCTGTGGCTTGATGACTACGACAAATTGAGCGAATCAAATGAACGCATCGGATGAGCAACTTTGATCCAATGCATTCATATTTATATCATTTCATCAATTTTCTGGCATTAAACAAATAAAGAAATAAATTATTAGATATCACTCCTGTTGGCCTGTAATTCTAATGTATATTTCTTAGAGATAATCATTATTAACCAATACTATCTTTATTATTATTATTAATTTATTCAGGTAATTTAACCAACAGTCAATTAATTCATCAATCAATTGGAGCAGGAACACATGTTTGTCCCACAAACACACATGCTTACGTACACACATGCTTACGTACACACATGCTTACGTACATTTTACGCTGTTGTCATGTAGGAGCTTGGCAACAGTATCAAAGTGGTGGGGCTTTGCGAACGGTCTATTATTTCATCACTGTTACCTGTAAGCAGTGCAGTAGCCAGGATTTTCAAACAATACAGGACAATATCAGGGTGAACCGACTTTACGCATAAATTCAAAGAATGTTAACCCATTTTCTTAAAAGTCATTTCTCATTTTAGGCTAAATATGGGAAATCTAGACCCATTTTTCAAAAAGTGGACCCATTCTTTGTGGACCCATTAGAAAAATTGTGTGGGATGGCATTGCCTGTTACCTGTCGGTGTCCTCTGCTCGGAGCAGGTTGGCTATCATGGACCTCCAATTTTCTCTTTTCTGAGCTCCCCTTACATATTCGTACTTCAATGTACACCACTCCTTGATGTTGAAAATGAAACCAAGGTTGGAACCTTGGTTTCATTTTCATTTCTTCAAAATTGCCTCCATAAATGGAGAGTATAAAAAAAGCAAAACAAAACATCAATACACATTAAAATCCTAAGCACATGATTTTATGTGTTTTATGTAATGAGAAATTGACAGTAACAATAACAATTATTAACAAAATCTTACTTTGAACATTACCATTAGGAAATGTTTAAATCCACACTATCCTATACCTTACACTTTTAAACTGATTGTACTGTAGGCCCTACCAGAGAAAGAGAAGTAAGAGAAAAGAAAGAGGGAGAGGGAGGGAAAAGAGAAAGAAGGGGAAAGAAAAGGGAAAAGAAAAAGAGAAGAGAAAAATAAAGAAGAATAAAAAGGAAGATATAATGAACAGATATCACAATACCCCTGCCTGCTACCCATTCTCCACTTCAAAAAGTGTCCATAGCGCATTTGATCTAAGCCGCCAGGTATTCTCCGCAGTGGCGTAACCACCGGGGGACAAGGGGAAAATATCCATCTGTGGAAAGTCTTTCCCCATTGAATGCCCTTTTCACCTTTTTCCGACGAAATTAGAATTAAAAAAACAAAGCTTGTGCTTGCTCTCCTTTGCCTTCTAAGTTATAACACATAGTCCCAAACTCAAGAAAGAAAATTTATGATAGATCTTTTTACCTAAAAGAAGGGCCTCAATGTGTAATGATGTTGAAAGAATATGTTTGTAATAAATAAAGCCATAAGGAAAATGCTTATGTTATGTTATGTTATGTTAATAAAATAAGCCCTATATGTCATATTGTTTTCTATATGGGGGGGTATCACACCCCCATACTAACCGGGAAAATTATTACCTTTGTCCCCACCCCGACGCAAGACCCCTGTTACACACCTGTTTATAAGTGTGCCACCAGAATGCAAAACAGATAACTGTATGGTTTGGTCATAGTACACCAGTTTGTTGGGGTGGGGGCAGGGCCCGGGGTCCAGAGGCGGAGCCCTCAGGATCTGAGCATTTTAAGCTGTTGTACAATTTACATTATCTACAATGTTTAATTTGAGCACCCGAACTATGTACACAAACATTAATGTTTAGTATGTTTAATACTGTCTAATGACTCAAGTTTAAACTGCATGACCATTTTTATATTTTTAATAAAATCATTTTCTTCTAATTTTGAATAGATTTTCCCCTGAATTTGAATCTGTTTTGTGGTGATGTTTGCATTCACAGAGTCCTTATGGTGACACAGAACGTGGCCGTATGATCCTAAGGTGCAGAACTCAACAACCGGAAAACAGCAGGGTAAAAAAATCGTCCAATTTCTCATACAACTGTCCGAAATGCTCACAGATAGTGGAGCTATGGTGCTAGATAAGCTTATAGGTCACAGCTTGGAAATAATAGTAAATAATACCCACATTAGGTTTGCTGCGTAGCACTGTAAACACAATACTGTATATACAAATGGATAATAATAATAGTGCTCGAGTAGGAACAAGATGTAATAATCATATCAAGCACGAAAAGTTCCTTTTATTCAGTTGTATGAAAAAGTGTCTGGCGGGATTTGAATCTGCAACCGCTCGCTATTAGGAAGTTTACCACATAAATAATTTTCCAAATTTTGTTTGCTGCATAGCACCGTAGCCACAATATACACAAATGGATAAATAATAACATTGCTCGAATAATAACATTGCTCGAATAGTAACAAGAAGTTATAATCGTATTAAGCATAGTCATTCAACGAAAAGTTCCTATATTCAGTTGTATGTATACAGGGGCGGTCCAGAGATGTCGGAAAGGGGGCCGAAAGTGAGGCAGAATGTTGGGCAGATTGAGATACCACCACCCTAAGGGGTCCGGGGGCATGCCCCTGCAACATTTTAATTTTCTAGATGCCCGAAAAACTCTGGGGTGTTTTGGGTGATAATTTTTTCTTTTTCTTTCTCTCTTCTTTTTTTTTTTTTGACTTTCCAAAGGGGGTGGGGGAGGCGGAGCTGCACCGGTCCCCCTCCCCCTAATCATTCCTGTTTTTCTGCCTATCTATTAATATTAGTATTGTTCAGTATTCAGGCACAGGATGGAGGTATACACTCTATGGAGTGAATGCTGTGGTTCATCCTTGTTCCTGCTGTATTAGCATGCCGCTGTAAACATTTTTTAAAGTTATATTTTTAAATATAAACATAAGGAATTATAAATATGCAGAAATATTTTGGTTTGACTGTGTATCTCTTTGTCATTGTATTGAAATATGTAAATCTGTGTATTCTATTATAAGAAATTGAACAAACATAATATGTGCTGATAACTGCTTCTGGCCAACATTTTAGACAGAAAAATACCTAAAAAATTTAATAAAATGTTGAATAGCTGATTTAAAACGATCACATTAAGGATAAATTATTAGCTTCCAATGAGAAAACAGATAAAAAAAAGTAATTACCCGCCAATTTAAAAATCTATGCAAACAATTACATTGAAGTTATTATTTAACTGGTCATTTTTTTTTCTCATTCAAATTTTCAAATTTTTTATTTGAAGTTAATAACTGAAATATACAAATTAAGCAGTTCAAGTGTGAAATTAATAATTTTAATTTGTTTCTGTGTTTTTGAATTTTTATTTTGTAATTTTCATTAAAATAAATTTTTTATTGATTTATTGATGACTACAGAGGACCTGCACAAAGTAACACCAAAGTACACTTTTCCTTTCATTCCAAATACTGTACTTTTTAATAACTGTACAAATAGAAAGAGTGCAATACTCAGGTTGAATATGCAGTACATAAAATGCTGATTGATTTAACAGCATTTGATACAAAACTCTGAAACCAAATTGATTCTGATTACATACATTCATGTCGTCTTAGTATTTCCTTTATCAGGGTCACAGGTCAAATCAATTCAATAGTACTTTGTAACAGTTGCGATATTTCAACCAACTTGACTTGATTAAATGTGACAGACAACGTTTCTGCCAGGTTACATAATAAGTAACAGATTAACCAATTAGTTCAGCGACCAATTAGAAGTCTAGGATAATTCTTAATAAAATATATACAATTTAATCTATATTAAAAAGTTTAATTTAAAATACTATAGTCCATGGCTTTGTTAGAATTATGGCAAGTTTTTGTACATGTATTGCCAGCATTAAACGTTGAATGAATCAAATAACCGAGGGCTTAATAGACCAATGAAATCACTTTACGACAAATTTTATTAATACATACATATGAAAATGAAAATTGACTGCATCATAAAAGTTCATTGCAATTAAAAAGTATGTACTAGTCCTTAATTGAAATATAAAACCATCAATAGTCATATTTAAACTATTGAATTATACAAACATTCATTTGGCATACAAAATGTTTTCAATCAATTACCTTTGTCTTTTATAAGAACAATCTTTGTATAAGAATTATTATCAGCAAAAATGTATGAAACCTTATATCTAAAGTCTAAAATATATAGTCATCATTATTCAATGCTATTCAATTAATTATTGAAAAGGATTAAATGTTATGAAAAAGGAGCAAGGCAAATTTAAGCACCTTTAAAAATCAACCAGACACATGTACATATATAGGAGTATACACATATATATGCAATAAATGGTTCTGTTCATCTATTCATTGCATTGGGTTACTCTCTTGTATAGTAAACATATGATCTATATTCTGCCATACAGGTATATACATATATGCATATATTTTCTATATCTTACTATACATGACATATATGCATATAATTTCTATTTGTTTATACTTTTTTTTTTCTTGACACAGACAAACATAAATGAGATATAGATTATTATTTCTATATTACAATATGACAAGAATATGACATTTCTATATTTACATATGATTCCTGTCCTATGACAACATATATGCATATGATTTCAATCCTATGAGACATATGCATTATCTTATCCAATTACAAAAACATTTTTTGTTCTTTGACATTTGAGTGAAAGTATTATGGCTCCTCTGTATTAAAGTATACAATACTGACACATTCTTATGCTAATTACTCAGTTTAACATTTAGTGACAGTACGCTGATTTTTGGGATGGCAAGCCTCATACAGTATTTACTTTAAATTTCTTGATGGAATGATGCTTTATAAATTAAGCCTCGCACTAAGACTTAAAAAGTGGAGCTGTTTTCAGTCATGAGAAGAAAAATCCCTTAAATTTGCATGGTTTGGATGTTGGGTTTTGATAGCAAGCACTCCAAAGCTGCCACAAAATATAAATAAATATATATGATTATGCAATCACAAAAAGGATGTTTATACTAATACATAGACGGATGAATATAGAATATAATTATTACTATAGAAAGTTCAAGCTTTGTTTAAAAAGTAAGTAACATTTATACAGACTCCGATAAATAAAGACATAGTTGTTATTGTTAAAAAAAATAAAATAAAAAAAAAATCTTTTTCACATTCTTAGTGAAAATATCGACTGCCTCACCTTTCAGGGAAAATGCACTTAGCATATGACTGCATTATTTTGTATTTAAAAAAAAAATTGTCTGCAATATTTTCAATATAAACAAACCATCAGAAGCAGAGTGAGATGCTACGCAAATACAATGCTGATGTATCATTCACTGAAATACATTCAAAACTGAGTAATAAATGGATTTCAAGATTGACAAGTTAATCAGTTTAATGAACAGTTCGCTGACTTTTGATGGCTTTGCGATGTCATTTTCAAATATTCATTTGTAAAGCCTCGAGTAAACTTTAATAGAAGTTTGGTTGTTAATTTTCCAGATGTTGAACAGTTGTTTCCAAAGTTCAAGACAATGTCCTCACATTAATGTAGTTATTGTTCATTATTTTAGAGAGATCGTAACCCTACGAAGAGTAAATGGCATCCAGTGAGATAGATGTACGCATCTAGGCGACTGACCGGCTGCCCGACTGTGTGACCTGTCCACTAACCGACTGAGTAATGGGTCAGTGATTGATGAAACTCATTTCTCTTTTAGATGACTTCTGTCTTAGCGACTGGCCTTTATGTCTCTTAAACAACATACTCTTATACATATCTATACTCTTACAACTGCATCTAAGAGTGAATGTCTATTGGCACTCTCCCAATGATTCACTACATTTTGGGTTCAAGTACATTAGGGAAACCACCTGTAAGCATCAATAATTCTAATAATAAGCAATTTTTTTTGTTGCTAGTTGGAAATTGTCAGGCTAGCCAGGAAGAAGCAAGGACAACAGCCTCAAAAAGGTGAAGGCCTTTGCCCTCAAAATGAAATTTATGCTAACAAACAGACAAATAAATAAATAAAGGGTCATTATGTTGAAGTTGAAAGACCCCTGTTATTGGTTTGCCCTTGGGACCCCAAAAACACTCATGACAGCCCCGACAATCCAACATAGGAAAGCTGACTTATATAATTCATATTAACCTCCAGAAAGCAGAGCTAAACAACTGCCTGTTAACAAATTCTTACTTGATAATAAGAATAGTTTTCTTTCATGTGGGAAATCTACTTTCGTATTTCTAAATACAATCTGACGTGTGCAATCCTGTGGTATTATCTACTGTGTGGATTATGCATACATCCTCAAATAGAATTCAAACACACATCAGTAAACCTACATTCGTCGTGACACGTTTCTTTAAGCTACTCTCCGATGACCTGTCATTAAACTTGAGTATACAGTACAATGTAACTATTAGCAAATGCATACAGATTTAAAAAAAGATTATGTACAACATTAAAATAGCACAATGGAGAGCTCACTTTAAACATGTAAAAAAAATATGGATTTTCATATGAACTAATGAAAAAATGACTCTAGGCCACAAAAGAGTTGCTTTAAGAAGTTGTAGGCAGCAGTGCTTTAAAGGCTGCTCCTCGGTAATTACCTCTCCGCAATAAATGCTACTGCGTAATCGCTATTGCTAAGCTGTATATTTTCTGCACTTGACTGTACATTTGTAAGATTGATACGACTAAAGGAGTATTGTCGGTGACACGCAGTGACCCTCTGCAGTACTATGGACTCCGTAGGAATAGTGCATTCATAACCCGAAGGCTTATTGTATTTTCAATCGCATAATTACCAGAATATCTTCACATGATGTTTTGAAAACCTTTCGAACAATCCAGCACTAAACATTAATAAAGAGATAGCAAATGATTGCAAGAAATTGGTTTCATTTTTTGTCTTCTCTATATAATAATTATAGTAGAGATCCTTCATAGGAAATTGCACATGATAGCAAATAATAGTTTAAAACCCTGTATAAACATTAATGATTCCTCATTTGTAAATGTCGAATGGTTTACAGCCTTTGCTCAATGCTGAGAGGTCGAGCTTGTAGGAGCATCTGATACGCAATTTCAAACGCTTGACCAAGAGTTAAGATGATCTCTGTCGCAACATCCTAGAAGAAAACAAACAGAAGAAAATAATTGATTGAATATGAACTATAACCTTGCACGAATAAAACATTACAATGTATCATGTTGGAGACAATGGCTCTGAAAAGTACTCCTAAATTCACAGAAAATTAATACAGATTACAAAGGGAATGTCCAAATAATGGAGAATGAATGTCCTTTAAATTTACAGCCTGTAAACGAACACAAGATAAACGCAAAAAATACATGATGTACACAAATATGAATTTGGACTTTAAAGGGCATTTCTGGAGTGGATTTATAAACAAACCTAAGAAAACAATTAATCATGGAATAGCCTTCTTAAAAAGATTCAAATAACTTCTAAAGCTACACAGACAGAAACAATTCAGTTTTTGCTAATTTATGAATTGAAAAATAAAATTTTAAAAAAATTGTTTGCCAGCTCATTTAAAGGGTCTATAAAAAATTTATGGAACTAATTTTTATTAGTGAGTAGAGTATATTCTCATTCTAATTGGAACTGCTCATCTTTGGAACAATCTTTCCCACAACATTTGTAACAATTTTGATTCTCTTTCTATTAGTAAGTTTAAAAAAAATGCCTTTAACTGTATTCAGTTTAATACCTTTCATTTTGTTTAGTTTAACTTGTAATTTTTATTTTGTAATTTTTATTTTGTTTTTTAAGTTTCCATTTTTCTGTTTACATTTCAGTTCCAGGTTACTTTATCATTGTTTTTAATTTACTTTTTACTTACTTTTGAATTTACTATACAGGGCTTCTGAATGGTAACACCCTGGTTAAAGAAAGCTGACATAAATTAAAAGATAATAACTTACTTAAATATACAAAACATTCAAGTCAAACACATCTAATTCCAGTCTGTAGGTTCTAATTAAATCTTTTGTCAAGACAAATAAACACCTTCCTAACCTTTTTAATGAGCATTAATTATCATGCATTGCAGTTCATTTTCATTTGAAGTGAATCAAAGTTGAATAAGAATGAACCAAAACAATAAATGAATAAAATGCATAAACATTCTATTCAGACGCTGCAGATCTGTCAGGAACAATGAAAAAAAAAAAAAGACTGACAGAGTATCTACAATCGCAGCCTGTTAGAAATCCCAACCTATCTTACTTGATATGTAGACGCCTTTACCACTTTCTCGTCCTAGATCAACTAGAAAAAGCCATTGACACGACAAAGTAAACAACCCATACTAAAACACATAAGCACTCTCATATTGGTTTTGGATCAATGTTAATACGTTTCCATCAAAAAAGCATTTTCTGCTCACGTGGCATGATCTGACCTCTGACCCATGTCTTATGCGAGTGCGTCACAAGACGGTAAACAGAAGTTAAAGGACTGCTTTACATCGCAGATTGATCACAACGAGAGTCGAAGAGGCTCAAAAACGAATGAAGTGGACTTTTGTTCATGGTAATTGACAAGACAAATATGCTGTGTTTTTTATATAGTAGATCGTAAAGTAATCTGTTGTACACTGTTTGAATGTAACTAACTTTTATTGATTTGTAATCAATCCACACTGATAGGGGGCAGGCTTTAATAAAAAAAAAAAACATTATTCATTCACTGCTTACCAATGTATTGAGCACAGTATTATATGGATATAAGTTCAAATTAGATAATTATAATGTCAATCTTGGAGACCTTCACCCAAACGATGAGTCAACACACGGGCTAAAAACTTTACATGATAATGATACAATAAATATCAACATTATACAGATACTAGATAACTAAATACAATACATTTCGACAAGATAATGAACTCAATTATTTATCTTTAATCATATTATAATGTTTTGAATATTAATATTTAAAATATTAATGAAACATAAATGAATAAAAAATATATAAATAATGGAAAATGACCACACATAGAATTAACATACGATGCAGAGTTAGTTTACATTTAATTGGTTTGAACTTTCGTCAGAGGTTAATCCTGTCAAATGCCATTAATGGCAAATGTTTTACAAATCGTATCATTGTTTCTATACCTCCTGTTTAATTTTTATACATTTATTATTGAGAATCTCATTGCCATTGTTATAATTGTTGCCCTTAATTCTATCCTTTTTCTAATTTTGTTTTCACTTCTATTTGGACCCTGATTACAGTAGTTTAATTTGTATCTGTTTTACTTTCTTTAAATTTGAAATTATCTTTACCAGTGGTAAATGAAAGTTAAGGGAAATGGCTCGTTTAACTATATAATGCATGATTGTATTTTGTATTTGTATTGTTGTCGCTGTAAACTACAGTACGATAAATGAATAAAATACATGAATGAATGAATGAATAAATAAATAAAAAATAAATAAATAAAAATGAATGAATGAATGATTAAATGAATGAATGAATGAATGAATGAATGAATGAATGAATAAACGAATGAATGAATGAATGAATGAATGAATGAATGAATGAATCAGCTTATCAGTTTCAAACAAAGAAATTTCAGACCGAATTATATCATAATGGCCAGACACTGGCCATTTTTAAAAACATATTGTGTAATTATTTCACTACCAACATCGCTCAGAAGAGTGTTTGATCAATTCATTATTATTGTTATCTTAAACAGATTACAAATGTGTAAACTAGATAAAAGAAAATTAAAAACAAGTTAAGAACAACCAAATATGAGATGGAGAGTCCTTGGATAACAATTATGGATAAAGTATTAAAAAAAAAATTCCTGAAATAACAGGAATCATTGACAAACATTTGCTAAAAATAAATGTTGATGGGCTGGACATATTGCTAGATTTAAATCCAACATGTTCATGTGATTTAAATGTTTACATTATCACCTGCCTTGAGTATAATCTCAAGCCAGAAAAACGATTTTGGTATCCACAATAACAAGACCAATCAATCATAAAATTTCAAAAAATAAAATAAAATCCATCCTTCCAATTTCCACCCAGATTTTTTTTTAAATATTTTTTTCTGTTATTGTTCTCTAACAGGTGGGAAGCATGCTGAGCAAGGAAGGTTCTGCACTACAACACTCACATACAATGCATTAACAGATCAATTTAAGATGTGATGTCATCTTAAACTGTTTCCTGATATTATGCTAGTGTATAGCAGTACTAAAGGGTCTGTAAGAACAAGGAATACAAATGCTCTACCTGAACTAAACGAATCTTCTTCTTGTGCAAGCTTATAGAATGTTTTTAAAATAAATTAAGCTGTCTGAGTTAAAAACAAAATAATCCTAAAAAATAAAATTCAATATTTAGAATTGTTTAACTTTGTATATTTAAATGACTTACTAGTTTTCATTAACAATTAAAAGAAAATATTTTCTTGGCCAAATAGCAGATAAATAGACAATGTTTCTGTTTCATTTGGCTGGTGATAATCAATTTCAACATTTTTCTAGTAAGGAGTAAAATCAACAAAGAATATACTGTTTGACTCTCATTCCACAGTCTGGCTCAAATGTCAAGAAATGAGATGGGCTTTCCAGTGTGTCAACCCAAAGCTCCCGGTTTCAATTTCACCTTTCATTATCTCATTAAAAGCTACAGTTTTAATATTTGATCTTTTTTACTCGCAATTCAATGTTTCAATGGAAATTTAGAGTGTTTTCAATTCTTATCAGCAGTGCAGAATCAGAATGCAATACCACAAGGCTTGCATGCCAGACCGTTTAAACTGGCAATTTGCTCAGTCTGCCACCAACAATCTCCACATAGCATTGCATCGTCAAATGAATCACAAAAACTGTGAAGATGGATTCATTAGCCAACGGTCGTACCGTCAACATGGTGCATACCTGACTTTAGTCTAAAATCAGCTGGTAAACAGTACATTTTGTATACCGCAATGAAGCAATAGGTGCCTTGGAACTAAATTATGTTCAAATTCTAACACACGTTTTCAGATTAAGTATGTTTGTAAAGATGTAATGTTGAAGCAATCAGTGTAAGTGGTCTGAGGGCTATGTTTGCATATGGCTAAAATTGACTTTGTTTTTGTATGCTGTGACAGACTACTGACAACCTGCAATGAATAATTTGTTTTTCTAGTAGTAGAGTGTAGTGGTAGTCCTTTCACTTGTCTGTCATTTTCTTAAAGAGGTCGAAAATGAATCAAGAATCTCTGAACAAACCTTAAGAGTTCTTTTAAAGGAAGTTTCTGTTTCTTTCTAAATTTGTTTGACAAATTTTGACCATATTTTAACTTACTGTGCAATCTCTTCATTCTATGTTCATGCGGGTCAGAGAAAACCGGGTCTTAAGTATCTATTTATATAGTTGTATTATTAACATTATATAAACACTGTCAAATGTTGACCGAACTCATGATCTGTTTCATTCTGATGACAATGTAGGCCAAAAGTACTCTGCAGTTTAGCTCATTAATTCTTTAAATCATTACAGAGAACCGTACACGTCATAATGATGCATTCAGTTCACGGCATTTATCTCTTCGCTTACGAAAATTTAAGTATGAGGATGATCTTTAAAACATGGGTCGCAGGCAAACATCTGAATATCATAGGCACCTACAAAGTTTATGATAATCGTCGGCCTTAAAGGTCAGCGAGAACATTGTACATTGATTCATCTATTTGCATAAAAAAAATGAGAGAGCAAAGTTAGTTGCACAGTGGAGGAGAATTCTAACTAAAAAGGCCGGAGTGAAAATTTTGTATACTGGTTCTTCTATTGGCATACAAAATCGAGAAGAGGCGTGGGAAAATTGTACAGCGTAAAAGGTTTCTAAACATGGTCATTTTGATTGGTGTTATACATGTCAGTTTCTATATCGTGTGGGAGATATTTAATGATGGGGTAAAGCACAAGAAACCCTGCAATATCCTTAGAGGGGACAACTTTACAGCTGTCATATTATATATTAACAAAAGTGGCATTCATGTCAGTACAGTGCCAGAGCTTATGCGTCAAAGCAGACAGCTTCTTTCGTCTCATACTGTAAGCAAAGGCACATACTATGAATATATGA